ATATATAGTATATATATATACATAATATAAATTTAAAAAGTCAAAAATAATTTGAATGTTTATAACAATTTAAAACACAATATCCTCTAAGAAAATATTATATTTTATTGTAAAATAATCTTTATTGTGAATGCAACATTAATGATTTTTCAAAATAAAAGTCCTACTAGATTTTTTAAATACATATGAAGTATTATATAGAAAACATATTCTGCTTTGATGTTTGCATAGTGTTTTGTGAACATGTGTAAAAAAATTCCTTTACTTTAGAAGTAAATAATATATTTAAAAATCAGTAGTTGCATTGAAATTTCTTTAAATAAACCTGCACACTTACATTAACGATATGTACATAAAAGTCAACTACTCATATGTCTAATATATAAAAATATAAAGTAATGATGATAACAATTATTTATATATCATTTATTCTCTTTTCATTTTATCATACATTTGGCATAAAAGATTTAATATCTTTTAAAACATAATAAAAGCAGCTACAAGCCTAGCTGAATGTTCGTTGCTAACAATTTAATATTTCAATTTAATATTTAAAATTAATGATAAGACAAAACATTTTCGACCTGTTATCGGGTCATTCTTAATGTGATAAAAATTACAGTGTAATATAGTAAATTGTTTTATGTCCATTTTTTTACAATTCTTTCATATGCATTGCATTAGTCAATCAATATTGCAATATGCGGTGTGTCCATTTAAAAAAAAAACTGATATAGGTGTTTTCAACATTTGTAAATACTTATATTCGCTTATTATATTTTATATTTTCTTCTTTAGTACTATTGCGTTGTAATTATGTGAATGTAATTTCTATCAGTTATAATAGAGAGAAATGTTACAATTTTGAAGCTAGATGTAATTAATTAAAAGTCTATGTGATAATATCAGTATCTAATAAAATAATGTAATATCTAGATCAAAGTCTGCAATTATATCGTTAATAAGACCTTAAAATGGAGCTTTTAAGATTTAGCTGTTATACTTAAATGTCACTTTTGTTGTTGAAATGAGAAAACGAGAGAGCAAATTCGACAAAGGAAGAAGAAATGTAATAGGAGGGAATGAGTGAGGAGATTATGACAAGAATAATGACTGAACAGAAGATATCCATCGGAAAATAATTCTGTGTAATTCTGTTTATTTAATCTTTGTGTCTGCTTCTTTAGAAACCAGATATTAGTCTCTTGTTATATAATGGTTCTCTGTTTAATATTTTTATTTCCCGTTAAAATCATGGTTTGACATTCGATGATTGGAAATTACTTACTTTAGTGATCTTTTATTTCTTTTCTATCATTTTTTCTGAATTAACAATTTTTGTTTCTTTTTGAATATTAATGAATACAAAATTTAAACTTGTAGTATCATACTTGTGGGTTACAATATTTTTTTCCTGTAGGATTGCTTGCATGTTGTTTTGCTGAAAATTATACAGTCTGCTGGCTATGTTGCTGGCAGCCAACCTGCTGGACTTTCATGATACCAGATATTATTTTTTTTGCATGATTTTTCATTGCGAATTTCTTATTGTCCGCGCGAATGTAAATTTAGTACTTAATTTTAAACTTAAATGAAAATGTAAATTCAAATGTTATTGTCAAATTTTTTATTAAATAATATGCTTGTTTATAAGTTTATGTGATATATGATATGTTAGATTCTTTTGTATCTTTGTTTCAATATAATGCTTTGTTATAATTTAACTACTAGCTACTGATTTTATAACACTAGTTTTGGTACCTTGCCATTTGCTATGTATATAATTTGCAATAAAGAATGAAATGAAATTTTATGTTGGCTTAATTTCTCATTGTGAGAACCAATTAAGGTATTCTACTAATATAGAAGATCTGTGATGCATGTAATGTAAAATAGGTTTTGCAGTACTGAATGCAGTAGTAAATATTGGAATGTAATGTATTGACAGGAATATTGGACGTCTTCCTAGGGCCGTTTTTGTACATTTTTTTTGAGCTATTTTGTAAAAAGAAAATACTCACCACTAAAACTTTACGAGCAAGTAGAAAATAAATTCCGGCCAGAACGTAACTACGATATAAATCTTCGCACAGTGACAGATTGCAGAAAACTTATTTTATTTTGTTGAGCAACAGTTGCCCAATTCCGAAAAATTCGCCAATTGAAATCGTAAACTACAAGAGCTACCCAGAATTCTTCGATCAAATGCAAATTGTAATTTTATTTATTATTAATTTAGGTCTTGCGTATTCTAAGACAAGAATCAAATTATAATTTATACAACCATGTAAGAAATGAGAAAAAGATTCGAATATTTAAAAGTCCAAAA